TTGGTTTGAACTAGTGTACACTGTTAGTTTTTGCAGCTTTTATTACCTTCAGATTTGTTCTTAAGCTGCTTCACTTCGTCCTGTAACTGGCTGTGATTTTTACTCAGTGTCTCGTAACTGCTCTGTAACTGACTGTGGTTGACTGCCATGTCTTGTGAAAAAAAACATTGAAAAAAAAATAGTTAGACAATATGAAATTTATATGTTAAATAATTTACTTATTTGTATTGAAACCTTGTTTACCAAAATTGTCCCTGGAGCTGGTCTTTTTCCAAAGTGACTGAAATATCTGGTGAGAACCGCAACAACACAAGAAACACACCACACACTAATTCATTTACTTTAAACTAAAGACAGAATAAGTTACTTTCAAATAATTAAACATCACTTTCTATTTCAGATTGTAGATTACTGACTGTGAGTAAGAACTAAAATGCACATCAGCAACATCAAGTAACTGTGCTAAAATGGTGTGAAAGAGGATATCCTGAAAAATGTTTTTAGGTATAGGGTATATTTTGCTGTGAAGATGTGATGTAAAGGTTTTTAAGAATCGATTTAAGTAATTCCCCTCCTAGTGTGACTGCATGTAAAATTAGGGACACAAAAACCATAGTCTTTGTTGCGTGCAAACATGTATTCTTAAGCTCAGCTAAAGCTAATATGAGGCTACATTAGTCTGAGTTACCCCATTGAAGGCATTCCATCAAAAGTTTGTGTGTTTTTAGTACACTTTACACTGACAGTGTTTCCCTACTGAGCCGTGGCAGTATTATATTTTAAAAATCTTAATCGTTTAAAGCCTGAATTGGCACCATTTGAACAACATAATCTGAAACTTCTTGCAGCTTGTTCCATTAGATAGGGTTGTGGGGTACTGGAAAGTACATTTTAGTGTAACTGAGCAACCTTTGGTGGAAACCATTTCATGAATGCGCTTCATAGACCAGTTGTACCAGTTTTACTAAACATTCATTGTGAACAGGTTCAGTATTTGGTTGTCAGTAGTTGTGGGGTGAATTTTATCTTACAACGTATGTATAGGAGGATGATTCCAGTTATCATCAGAAAGCACAGCACTCCAAGACAAAATGCAGCAGCTCTGAAAGGTCTGCTTTGGACGGCTGGAGGAAGTGGCAAGCACACAGAGAGCGGGTTCATTAAAGGAAAACCACATGCGTCATGTTATCATCCCCCCACTGTTTACATAACCTTTAACTCAACAGCTTCACTGCCTTCATCTGTGGTTGGTCGACATCTGTTCACAACTGTAAAATGGAGTCTTAACATTACTAACCACTGATTATTTAACAAATCATATAAAGACTGTTATGTTGACAATTATTATGTGATGTAAAGCAAATATGAACCGATCTGAGATGTAGAGTTATAAAGGACAATTAAAATGCACAACTGACTCATAACTAAAAGCTGTTAAACTGACTTTGCATCATCTCCTCTTGAATCTCTGTATTAAAGTCTTCCTGTTATGTGGTTGCACTTGGATTCTTTTGTAAAATGGTCTTACTTGAGTTGATGCTTCTCTAGATCTCAAATGATTGTTAGTTAAATGCAGTTGGGAGTAACGCGTTACAAAAGTAATGCAATTACAGTAATAAGTATTGCTTTTTGCTTTAATGCAGTAATATAGTGCATTAGTAAAATAAATCTTTAATATTATACACGTTACATCTCAGTAACGCGTGTTAACCCAAAATTAAGTCAGTTTTGTATTTTAATAATACACCAACACAGAGAAAATTTCGGCACCAGAAAAACAAAATCATGAGTAAAGAATTATTAAAAAAGTATTAAAAGTATTATTCCTGTTGCGGGAATACAATGGTCATATTTACCATAAACTAATATGAATAATGCCCAAAGTATTAGATGGAGGTTGTGTTCATAAATATTTTGTGGCAATTTTGACTAAAGTGGCAGAAGATTACAGCAACA